TGTCAAGTCGCCCTGCGCAGAGGGGGGGGGGCGCGGCCACCCGAGACAGCAGTGCGCAGTGGACTTGCCTCGCCGACGGTGGTCCTCCCCCCCGCAGAGGGCGGTCGGCAGCGGCCTGCTCCAGGCCGGACAGGGCGAGCGCGCTGGCCACGAGCCGTCGACAGCGCAGCAACTCCTGATGACTGCTGGGTCGTCCTGTGCGTGGGACGGGGGAAGGAGGGAGGGAGGACGTGGGAGGGAGGAGGGAGACGAAGAGAGACGAGGAGGAAGAGGAGGAGGAGGGAAGAGGAGGAGGAGGAGGAGGAGGAGGAGGAGCAGGAGGAGGAGGGAAAAGGAGGGAGTAGGAGGAGGAGGTGTAAGCCCAAGAGCCATCAACGATGTCGGAGTAAACCATCCCTCCAAGCTCCCTCTTCATAGGCCCCTACAACGGTTCATTTCCATTGAGGGAACTGCCTCGTTGGAAGACAACCGTTTGAAGACCATGAATCATGCAACAAATATTGCTATCGGGATTTCAACGCCACGGATCAACCTGACTGTTGCGTCTTGACGATCCTGAATCGTGCCAGACGGACATTCCAAGGACTGCAACACCGAGAATAAAACGTAACTGTTGCACCCGCATAACCCTGAATCCTTCCCAAAGCAGCATTTCTGGTAACCGAACCCGTGAAACTCTTCCCGAATCCATCCTGTGATGTTGGGTCCTCGTTTTGAAAAGACATCGCCCCGCGTCTCCTTCCTCATCCCGCTGCCCACTCCCTCCTCCTCTCATCATCATCATCATCACCATCATTATCATCACCATCATCATCATCACCACCATCATCACCATCATCATCATCATCATCATCATCATCATCATCATCATCATCATCATCATCATCATCATCATCATCATCATCATCACCATCATTTCCATCATCATCATCCTCATCATCAGCAGCATCATCAGCATCGTCATCATCATCCTCATCATCGTTATCGTCATCATCACCGTCACCATCGTAATCATCATCCTCGCTGTCATCATCACCGCCCTCATCACCACCATCGTCATCATCATCGCCGTCGCCACACCCATTTCGGCACACCCCTCCCACGTTTCGTGGCCCCATAAAAGGGGCTCCACCGAAGGTCCCAGTGGCGCAGCCAGCATGCGTCACGCACACCCATTTCGGCACACCCCTCACACGTTTCGTGGCCCCGTAGGGGGCTCCACCGAAGGTCCCAGTGGCGCAGCCCGCATGCGTCACGCACACGCAGTTCGGCACACCCATCACACGTTTCGTGGCCCCATAGGGAGCTCCACCGAAGGTCCCAATGGCGCAGCCCGCAAGCGTCACGCACATCCATTTCCGCACACCCCTCACACGTTTCGTGGCCCCATAAGGAGCTCCACCGAAGGCCCCAGTGGCGCAGCCCGCAGGCGTCACGCACACCCATTTCGGCACACCCCTCTTACGTTTCGTGGCCCCGTAAGGGGCTCCACCGAAGGTCCCAGTGGCGCAGCCCGCATGCGTTCACGCACACGCATTTCGCACACCCCTCACACGCTTCGTGGCCCCATAGGGAGCTCCACGAAGGCCCGCAGTGGGCGCAGCCCGCAGGCGTCACGCACACCCATGTCGGCACACCCATCACATGTTTCGTGGCCGCATAGGGAGCTCCACCGAAGGTCCCAGAGGCGCAGCCCGCATGCGTCACGCACGCAGATTTCGGCACACCCCTCACACGCTTCGTGGCCCCATAGGGAGCTCCGCCGAATGTCCCAGTGGCGCAGCCCGCATGCGTCACGCATACCCATTTCGGCACACCCATCACACGACTCGTGGCCCCAAAAGGAGACACCCCTCACTCGTTTCGTGGCCCCATAAGGAGCTCCACCGAAGGTCCCAGTGGCGCAGCCCGCATGCGTCACGCACACCCATTTGGGCACACCCCTCATACGTTTCGTGGCCCCATAGGGAGCTCCATCGAAAGCCCCACCGCCCGCGTGCGTCCGCCACAGTCATGTCGGCGCACGCCCCACACGTTCCGAGGCCCCGTAGCGAGCTCCACCGAATACCCCAGCCACCGCTCGCATGCGTCCGCCAAGAAATTTCGGCACACCCCTCACACGTTTCGCGACCCCACAGGGAGCTCCACTGAATACGGTATTGACAATTTCAGTTCGCTCGGTTGCAAATGGTTGGGTCCGTCGCCAGGCTAGTGTTTTAAGACGAATGTGCGCCGCGCTCAGGCGAGAACCACATTTTGAAGACCCCCCGCCCTCAATCCGTGAACCTCTTACAAATTTCAAAAGCGAATGTGCGCCGCGCTCAGGCGAGACCGACATTTCGAAAACGACCCGCCCTAATCCGTGATACTCTTGCAAATGTTCAAAACAAATATGCGCCGCGCTCAAGCGAGAACCACATGTTGAAAAGCACCCACCCTCAATCCGTGAACCTCTTGCAAATTTCAAAAACAAATGTGCGCCGCGCTCAGGCGAGAACCA